CTCCATCCAGTCATTTAAATAAACAATAAAGATTTCTGCGTGGCCTAATTTGCACGAACTATCTTTGCAACCAGCCCTTATGGCGGTCCTCACGCCCTGTCGGATTTTCTAAAAAATAGGGTTAACTAAAAGTGAATTTACTCTATCAGTTGTTACGGCCTGACCTTAATGCTGCCCCGGATCCTGAAGCAAGTAGTCTGTTGTTGCTCTTTTATTTCCTCCGAACCCAACCGCTAACTTGGAGTAGATTAACTTTTACTATGGCCTATAGGCACAGACCGGAATTTTATGTAGGAATGTTTGAGCCGAAGTCCATCCGCCACAGCGGGACAACCGCGTAATATTCATTAACTGCCGACGGGCAGTTAGTATTATATTTTAGCGTTAGAAGACACCATACTAGCAGTAGTAGTCTGTTTCAAAATAAATGTCATCACAATTTTTACCCTCCATACTACAGCGTTCGTTTTGGACAGATGTAGTGTCCCTTAAAAAACCCCCGAGGCAAAATCATCCGAACTTCTAAAATCATTTAAAAACTGTGATCCACTTGTCAACCCTGGATTAAAGCGCCAGGATCCTAGGCTCAGTGAATTCGTTCGCTGCCAACATCAGAGATTCGCTTTCTATTACAATGTGTGGCTGCAGACTTTTTGAAGGCGCTCTAAGCGTCGAAAAGAGGAGGAGTCGGAGTTGGATTTGGGGAGGTGCTCAGAACCCGAACTGAAGTTTGAAATTACCACTAGAACGCTGCTCGTAAACAAAAGGGAAGCAAATATTAGGATGAACTGAAACGAGTGCTAAGTAAAAACGGGAGTTTTCTTCTTCAGTTGGATGTTCAAGAGACCTACATCACCGGTTGTGGCAACACAATTAACCGGTCGACTGAAAACACTTCTGAAGATAGAAGGCGTTAAGACCCATTTTCTAACAAAGAACTGAGCCAAATGATGCCAGCGGACGTATCGAAAGGGGACTTCTATGGGTTAATCAAAATTCATAAAATTACTACAGTCAGTTGCTGCCCTCAGGAAGAATCCCATCTACAAACTTTTAAGTGAATGATTCGAAACCCCCTAGTGCATGAAAAACGCCTCAGCAACATCAAAAATGTAAACTTTCAGTTCCTGGCTAAAAGACGTGAACGTAAAGTTGAGAGAGTTTTAATAACGATGTGTTTCGATGTGATGCCAATTTTTACTTCTAGTCTTATGACTGATGTCATGCTCAAAACCTTTGAGGGGGAGAAGAAGAGTCTTTTTTATTTGAATTTTTTTGTTATTTATTTATTCGTCAGATGGACATAGCATGGCGAAATAAAAGTACATGTGCGCAAGGAGCCGATTAGCATGACACAGTTATTCAGTCAATAAAGTAATCACAGGAGCTGAGTTCGAGCACTCCTCAGAAGAAACCTAGCGTGCTGCCAAACTCCACAAAAACAGAAGCACTAATTCCGGTACTGCCTTCGCAACTTTAGACTGTATGGCTGCCCCAATGTTTCGAAGATTTTCGTTTTCCTACTTGTCTACATAAAAAGCAGGGTCGGAACAGGCAGAAACCATGACGTGCTCTTGTTACATATTAACGAAGTTTTCGATATATTTGAGCGTCTTTCTTAGAGTTATGCTAAGACAGTGCTCATCTACGCGAGGCAACTATTTGTAGTAACACCGTGCATGACAAACACAAACTGTAGTCCTGTGATCCGTCTGGTATTTTCTATTAGTCGTCATGTCCAAGTTGCTCTTTTTCTTATGCACGTCGAACTGAGAGAAGACAGAGGTCACGGTTATGCGAAAACACACTGTCAGTGTAGAGGGAAATCGGTTAGCATAAGAAGCTGCTTGTTACCAAAATTGTTGGTCAATACTTCATGTTCGCAGGTTCGATTGCCCGGTCTGTCAATAGAACAAGTCAGGAGCAGAGAAACGGCCGCAGCTCGGGTGAAAGCTCATGAAATCACCACGTTTATCTTTCAGCCGCTAACTGAAAGGGAGAGACTGCGAATGCTACCCATCCAATAGTGCTATTTTTTCTCTTCTGCCGGATTCTAATGCGCGCACGAAACCTCGGACAACTGTAAGCTTTTTCTCATGGAAACCTCCTTTTTTCTTCTATAGACAATGCTACTTTGGGACTGGAAGTTTTAATGGAAATACTAGAGAGAAAATAAATTGATGCCGCATTCGGACTCAAAGTTGTAAAGGTGTTCACGGAAGTACTGGAGAGAAAATAAATTGATGCCGCATTCGGATGTCGCATTGGGCGTGTCCATTATAAGCGGTCTTATCAAATGAAGTGATTATGCAATCTCCTAAAATATTAACCGAAATCCAGAAATGGATTTTTAATTTGAAATGACTATTTACGTAGCGCTATCGTGTTAGTTATTGTGTTGCGCAATGTTAATTTATTCCATTTGCGTCAGGATATCGGTTTTCGAAAGAGCCTGCCTAAACTACATTCCGTAAAAAATGACCGCTTGAGTTGTACGAATCTGTTGCATTGACTTTCGATGCCCTTAAAAATTCAATTATTTTTTATAGAAAATTTTCATAAAAATCATCCTTGCTCTTACTCATATGGTATCAATTTACGTCTTCTTTACATTTTTACTTGAGAAAAGAGCATGATTCGGTTTTAATAAACTTTCTCACCTTCCAAAAAGTGTTGACCCGACGTTCTGTTACAATTGCATTCGGGGTCTACAATTTGCACGCTTCCTACTTTGCATGTAAGGAATGTGATACACGTCTGTATGGCATTATCAAGAGGTCATACAGGACTCACGAAATTTATTGTAATGGATATGGAATTTGTTGTTGCTGACGCGATTCTGTACGACTAGACATTTCACGGTTTTGAAATATTTCATAATCAGAAGTTCTTTAAATCCGAAGCATACTCTCTATTTAGGTATAAAATTTCGGGAAGGTGTAATTTGCTACCAAGTGCGCAAAAGAAGGAATGTTCTAATGCATTAAAAATAAACGGGAAAACTATACTACTTAATGAGCCATTTTTATAGAATGCGATTTTCGCGGGCAGCCAATAAAATTGACTTTAAAGGCTCGCGTCCTGATAAATAATATTGCAACCCTACCTAGGTCATTACTTTTAATTGAAAGCACATTTCAGAATTTCGATCAACATTTCAAGAGCTAGCACATCTATTGTACGCAGAAGTATAAGAGCGAAGACTTAGAAAGAATTTGTTACAGGAAAATCAGATGCAAACATTTCATTTTCCAAATGCGTCTAGCCTTTTTATTAAAGTTTACGGAGCTAGTACAGATAAAATCTGACGTAGATCTGTCTACCGTGTGAGCCACTTGGTTCTTTTTATGTAGACAGCAATCCCACCAATTTCTCAATCGGGATTGTCTCGGGACTGTTTGGTGGAATAAAAACCACCCAGGATAAGAACCATCTAGACGCATGCACTTCCCAACATAGACATTTATTTCACTTTCTGGATTTCTTGTGGCTGGACTTGTCCTAACTCCTCGCTGCTTAAAAAGTGGTTTAACAAATATTTATTTTTATCCAGCGGGAGTATTGGGCGCACAATAAAAACCACAATTCCAGGGTCAACAGTTGTTTGAGAGGAGGGGAAAAGCACCCGTACGGGGCATTTTTCTGCATAAAAACTAATGTTGGACTGAAAATGCGACGGGCGGTCGACTGTAGGACTGCGCCAACATTCACGAAAAATGTAGACTGGGACGATGGACTGAGTGTAATTAAAGCGAACTTCGGTAGTCGATGGGACTACACCCGGACTTACGGACGTTTGTGATTATCTGGTGTCATGACTGGATGTGTGCACTCCCTGTCCGCTAGAAATCAGTGCTTAGGTCAGTATCTCTGTGGCATATGTAGCTGGGCAAACGGTCTAAGAACATATACGATGTCTTTATCGTATTAATTTACGTACCATTTTCTAACAACTTCGCTAACCGATACATTGTTTTTATACAAGGCGCCTTCAATGCGTTCATTAATGAAGCTCATTCACGTACAGTTGACACTTTCAAAAGAAGGTTCCGGTTTTCTAACACTACTAGTAAGAACTATTTCCCGTATTATTTGAGAGATGCATGCGGACATGTCATTTCCATGAAATATAATTGGACTTTTAGGGACATCAAAAATCAGTGAGCAAAATTCATGCTGCTTAAGTAGTCATTTTTTGCAGAGCATCGCTCTGGCATGCAGCAAGAGAGAAATTCTTTCGAAAGCTGGCATCTTTTGGTAACTAAAATATTATAGAATTCTGTTGCAGACTGACTAGTTTTACAACCAAACTTAATTAATCTTTCCGAAAAGAAAAGGCATTTCGAAATTTCGGTTGACATTTCATGAGTTAGCCCATCTACTGTACATATTCAGAGGTGTGCCAAGAGCTATGCTTCACCTGACGGGGAGTGTGACTAGCCCAAGTGAGTAATGCGGCTTTCTGCATTGCAAGTTGCTCGAACGTCTTGCCCAGTTGTGGATTCACGTGAAGGAGGTAGTAGGTCGCTCACTTGCTTGCGGTTGTTGACTACAAACTGCACCCAATTCTCACACGTGGCACCTCGAAGGTAGGATCTGCCTAGCCGTCACAGCCCCGTAACAGCATCGACCAGGTGAGGGTGTCCGTGCGTGTATGGCTACACGCAGTAATTCTGCACCATTACCTCATTTACCTTCCCATTTACTCTCCATCTTAGTCTCTCATCCTCGTTCTCCTACCTCTCCTCTGCCCCCCTCCTCCTCCGTCTCCACCGTCTCTACCCACCACTCTGATCTATTTAACCACAATCAGGACGTCCCACGGCGCGGGCGACATGCGATCAAGTAGGCGGCCCAGTCCAAGCGGACTGTCCTTTCGGCAAACCCCGTGGCGCATAGTGGACAGCGGTATCCCTCTGATGCGATAAAACACCCCTATTTAGGGACAGCACTGCTTACCCCCTCACAGAGGAGGGAGTTGCAAACGGCGCCCGAAACAAATGCTGAGTTCACGACATCTGCGCGTAGACCATGGGTCGCCGACTGATACGCATGCTGTCGAAACCACCAAAACAGAAACAATACTCTCGCTTTTCCTCCTCCTCCTCCTCCTCCTCCTCCTCCTCCTCCTCCTCCCCCCCTCCGCCCCCCACAGGCTGCTAAAGTGAGTTCGCTCACTCTGGGAACCTCCTGTTGGCCAACACCTTTCATCTGCTAATGCGGAAGAAGTCCACTTGGATGCACCCCCCGATCGCGACGCCAACAGCTGTTGAACTATGTTCGCGTCCGGCGGCGAGATCGGCTGAGAGTGCTGATGATCAAGAAGATCTGCGGCGCCGATGGCCGGACGGACCACCACCTTGTCATCTCCAAAATGAGGCTCCGTATGTAACCCAGCCGGAGGCCACAAGGTAGGCAAACCTCGGGTAAGCTGATTACCGCTTTTGTGTACTTACCTGCTCTTCGTTTGCATTTCAGCAATCAACTGACCCAGCACCTGGAAAAACTGCTAGCTCTAGATTAAAACGCCTCTGTGGAGACTCGATGGTTTCAACCATGGAACGGCGTTCATTTGACCGCCCTGACTGCCCTCGGACTTGCACTTCGGCAGCACCAAGACTGGTTCGACAACAACGACGCAGTCATCAGTAACCTGCTCGCCGACAACAGCAGGATGCACAGAGCCTACCTCGACCGTCAAACAATTTGACCTTCTACCAATGTCGTCGTCTTGCGCAGCAACTGTTGCGAAAATTGCAGGACTTTTGGATGGCTCGCAAGGCCAAGGAAATCCAGGGATGTGTCGACCACAACGAATCAAATAATTTCTTCGCTGCGACCAAGGCGATCTATCGCGCCCCCAACGAAGGAAACCGTGCCGTTTCTCAGCTCCGATAGATGAACGCTTTTGACAGAGAAGTCACAGATTCTGAAGCGCGGGGCTGAGCACTTCAGAAGCGTTCTTAAGCCTCCCTCCACAATCTCTGACGCTGCCATCGACCGGCACCCCCAAGTGGAAATCGACGTTGACCTGGATGTCCCAGCCTCCCTTCCAGAAACCATCCAGAAACAACTGTCCAGCGGGGAAGCACCGGGCTCCGACGCGATCGCAACTGAAATCTACGATGACGGCTGCAATCGACTGATGAACAAACTGACGGCGCCATTTCGGAAGATGTGGCGATGCGGGCAGATTCCTCAGAATTTCAAGGACGCAATAATCGTCCATCTGTACAAGCAAAGGGAACCGACAACTCTGCGACAATCGTGGGGGCATCTCGCTGCTCAACATCGTCACGAAGATCTTCCCCCAAATGCTTCCCAACCGCCTCAACGGTCATCTAGAATAAGGGCCTCTGCCGGAAAGTCAATGTGGATCCCGCTGACACAACACAATCACCGACACGATCTTAGACACCTGCCAGATACAATGAAGTGCCTGAAGATGCGGAATCACCTCCATGCTACATTCGTGGATCTGAAGAAATCCTTCAACACAGTGAATCGTGAAGGATTGTGCAGAATCATGCAGAAGCTCGGCTGTCCTGAGCGCTTCATGCATATGTTACGTTAGCTTCAGGATGGGATGATGACACGCATCACAGACAACGACGCACTCTCCGAGGCATTCGCAGTGAGAAATGGGGTGGAACAGTAAGGGAACTAGTAAAGGCCGAGCCATTGTCTGAACGAGCATTTCAGGTATCCCAAAAGTAGAGAAAACGGTTCGCAACTTGTTGATTGAAGTCAGTGAAGAACAAGAATTTCCTGTCGAAATCGCATCAATCCATTTAGTGTGGGCGTCAACTACCACCAAAACCATATGACCTTGGAATGACCCAAAATAATCGACGTGTACCCTCTTCCACGGCGAGTCGGGTCAGACCCGAGGCTTCAAAGGAACCTTCCGTAAGGTCTTCTGTGTTATTTGGTACACGTGACATGCTTTCACCACGTTTTCTATATCTGCGTCAATTTTAGGCCACCAAACATAGTTGCGGGCGAGAGCTTTCATTCTAACTGTACCAGGATGGGCATTATGCAGGTCTTTGAGGATGGCCCGTCGGCCTTGTGGTGGCACAACTACACGAATACCCCATAGTATGCATCCGTCTTGTAGACTTAACTCGTTCTGACGGCTGAAGAATGGTTGAAAATCAGGGGAGGTGGAGGGCGGCCAGCCAGATTATAAGGCTTTTTTTACCCGACTTAGGAGAGGGTCTCTCGATGTCCACTGTCGAATTTGTTGACAGGTTACAGGTGCGTTGACTAGGTTCTGCGAAAGATTTATGGTCTCAAAAACAGGTGCCCTGTTAATGCCATCGTCCACAATAGGAAGCCTACTCAAGACGTCAGCCACTACGTTTGCACTACCTGTAAAGTATTTCATGGCATACGTGTATGCAGACAGGGTGAGTGCCCATCGTTGCATTCTGGGCGAGGACATCTGTTGTATCCCTCGTTTTTCTCCCAGCAGACCTAAGAGGGGTTTGTGATCAGTGTGCATCTCAAAGGGTCAGCCAAAAAGATACAGGTGGAAGCGATGTAGGACAAACATTATTGCCAAGGCCTCTTTATCTGGTTGTGAATAGTTGGTTTCCGTCTGTGACATGGTTCTTAATGCAAGGGCAATCGGCATCTCCGCACCAGAAGGCATTCGGTACATGAGAACCGCACCTACGCCGTACGGCGACGAATCACATTTCAGTATGATAGGCTTTTCGGGGTCACAATGAACTAGGACAGATGAGGAGTTAAGGGCCGCCTTTGCTCGTTCAAAAGCACTTTGTTCGACCTTCGACCAGTTCCAGCAACGATTCTTTTCAAGTAGTCGATAAAGGGGCTTTAGAATTGTAGCCGATTGATTAATAAAGCGAAAAAAGTGGGTAACTAACCCAAGGAATAAACGCAATTGACTAGTATTGTTGGGGCGCGGCGCCGTCTTCAAGGCTTTGAGATTATGTTCGAGTGAATGGAGGCCAGTTTTATCCATCCTGAAGCCCAGGTGTTCCACCCAATCGGCAAGGAAAGTACACTTAACTTTCCTGAGTTCAGAACTTGTGTCTTCTAAACGTCCTACCACGATGTTTGGAGTCTCCAGATGACTATGTTCAGATGGGCCGGTAACTAATAGATCGTCAAGGTATGCCCAAACGTGAGGTATATCCCTCACGAGGTTTTCCATCAAGCATTGAAATAAACCAGGAGCAGAACTTGCTCCAAATGATAGTCTTTTGTATTGGAACAAACCCCGATGCGTATTGATGGTGGTGGCGTCTCCGGATTCTGTATCTAGGGCAACTTGGTTGTAAGCATGCTTTAGGTCCAAAGTTGTAAACTGATGACCACCCGAGAGGGATGCGTACAGATCCTCGATGCGCGGGAGAGGATAAGGGTTCAGTTTAGTTGCTGAGTTGATTGTCAGCTTGTAGTCGCCACAGATATGCACAGAACCATCGGATTTAAGAACAGGAACTATTCGGGCTGCCCATTCCGAATATTGCACGGGCTCGATTTTGTCCGCTTTCTGAAGGCGATTCAGTTCTTCTTCGACCTTCGGTGCGACTGCATAGGGAAATGGACGAACTTTGAAGAACCGGGGCCGAAAATCTGATTGAGACTGGAACTTAACAGGTGGGCCGCGGTAGTGGGTAGCAGAATCGTCACGAAGCAGTTCCTTATGATTTACCAAAATGGAATCTAGAACCGGATTTTCGCCAATCCGATGTACATAGGATAGTACAGAAGGCACACATTTAATCCAATTCCGTCCGAGGAGATTTGGTTGCTGGCTTCCTCTCACCACATGAACCGGCAAGTAATGAAGTTCTCCATCATGCTCGACTTCGGCTGTAAAGATCCCTCGAACCTCTACGTTCTGTCCAGTATAACTACGGAATGTTGAGCCAGCCAGAAGGAGGGAGGGTAATTTCTGAAGAGAGGCCTCATTGGTGAGAGTAACAGTTGAGCCAGTGTCGATTTCAAACTTCACGGGATGGCGATCAACCGGAAGCGTGATGGTGTAGGGCGATTGGAGTGGCGTGTTGGCCGAAAACATTCGGAGTATCGCCTCGTCATCCCCAGCTGGATAAGGGTAGGTCGCATGCGTGTTATTGTTCGCCCGTCTTTTGGAGAAACACACTCGTTCGATGTGGCCGATTTTCTTGCAAAACTGGCATACCGTCTTCTGGTGTCTACAATATGACCACCGGATATGATGCTGACCACAACGGTAGCAGAATGGTAATTGTTTTGAGGGAGCTGAGGGTCGCTGCTTAGGTGAAGACAGCAGTGTTGACTAGGGAGACAGTCATTTCAGATTCCAAGGATGCTATCACTCCATCGGTTGACTGATTCAGCTGCTGAAGATTTTCTCGCTCGCGCTCCTGATGACTGGCGATATCACAGGCTTTCTCCTATGACAAATCCTTCCTCTCTAATAAGAGATTTTCCAGCGCTTTTTCATCGCGCAGACCGACGATCAACTGCTGAACGAGCATTGCGTGCTCAAAGTTGTCTGCCTTGATCTCTTTATACCCACAGTCCTGGATGGCGAGAGTCAGATTACTAATAAAATCACTGACACATTGACTGGATTCTTGACACTTTTGACAAAACCGATAGCGACTGAGAAAGAGTTGTCTTTTCCTCCCCACGCTGACTCGAGTTTTGTGAAGGCTGTTTGGAGATCTATAGCCTTTTGTAGATTGAGGGCATCGAAATATCGTTGTCCCAACTCTCCGAGATTGGTCCGGAGGAGTTTCAGCTTAGATGGGACGTCTAGTACAATCGTGGGCAACAAAATCGGGAGTAGTTCAATATAATCCTCAAATTTCTTCCTCCATTGCAACCACGAGTCATTTGAGGGCTTCTGGGTGTTCTTTGGCCAGGAAGGTAACGGTGTAGACAGCAATGAAGACATGTTCGTTAGGCTGTGCCGCCAATGTTATGTATGCAAAACAGAAGGGTAATTGGAAATAGGACGTGTACTGAGTACGAGAGACTGTACAAGTGATAAGGCTTGGGGAAACGCCGGGCATATGGCAAGGGGGACTGTCATAGGCTGATGGGTGGCAATCAGCACAAAGAATGTGTGAACAGGGGTCATGACCTTGATCGCTCGCTTGTCACGCGTTTGTGGCATGATGTCCTGACGACCCAGGCAGGATACGCTGCAGGATGCATACTCGCTCTCACTCTTTTTAGCTTCATGTGCTCTTCCATGGTGATGCTGATGATGATGGTCACTTACCGCGATGCGCACCCCGGGATCCGCATCATCTATAACATCGACGAGCACCTTCTCAGCAGCGGGCGAATGAGGGTCTCAAGACGTCTGTCCATAGCTGCAATCTATGATCTGCTCTTCGCCACCGACTGGGCACTCAACAGCACCACCGAATAAGACATACAGCGGAGCATGGATCTCTTCGCCTCGGCTGCGCCCACTTCGAAAGGACAAGACGGTGGTCACGCTTCAACAGCCAGCGAAAGCTGAATACAGTATCTCTCGCATCTGCATCGACGGCACCGAAATGAAGACCGTTGATACCTTCAACTGCCTAGGCAGCACAATGCCACGCTGCATCAGAATCGACAATGAAGTGGGCCACCGGATCTTTAAGACCAGTCAAGCCTTCGGCCGGCTGCAGATCTGTGTGTGGAATCGCCATAAACTTCATCTGAACACTAAACTGAAATTGTAAAAAGGCCGTCGTCCTAACGACACTTCTGTACGGTGCGGAGACATGGACCGTTTATTTTAGCCCTGCCAAGAAGCCCAACCATTTTCACCTCAGCTGCCTGGGCAGAATGCTAACGTTGGGATGGCAAGATAGGATCCCGGACACGGAATTCCTAGAACAGACCGGAATCCTCAGCATCCAGTCCATGCTGAGACAACTGCAACTACGCTGGAGCGGCCATCTCGTGAAAATGGAAGAAACACGCCTACCAAAAGAAACCCTCTGGGATCATGTCGCTACGGGAGTTCGCCAACATGGAGGCCTAATTCGCTGCTACAAGGACAATCTTAAGAACTCTCTGAAACGACTTTAAATCAATCCGGCCACTTGGGCAGACCTCGCCCGGGACCGACTGGCCTGGAGGAAGGCAGTGAAGACCGGCGCAGCACTCAACGATTCGAACCACATAACCGCCGTCAGAGCCAAGCGCCATGCTGGCAAATTTCAACTGCCCCACCTCGCAACGCCAACGTTAAAAACTCCCTCTACGTGTCCACGATGTCAGCGTACGTTTCCGGCACCATTAGGTCTTAGGGGGCAGTCTGCCTCAGCCCTACCTAAAAACGTATTCAGGGATGAACAGCAAAGAATTACTGTCACTACCAAGGATGCGAGATTGAAGAAGAGACTCCAGGAGAAACTCTAATCACTCTTCCGCTCTACGAACGCAGGGAATATGTCCACAAGAGCTGTCAGCCGGTGGAAGAGGAGTCTCTTACCTGCTAAAATCAGCCTCCCTTCTAAGGGAATAGGATTTAGTCACACGGCTGCCACACCTACCAAATTCCTAACTGGCAGTGAATCCATTCTACTGACCTCTACCCTTCCGGAAAACATGCGTACGGACGTACGCAGCTGTGCCACCGGTATCCTCCGGAAAAAAAGACGCCAGCGAACTCTACCGGCCGAAGAAGCGCAAGAATTTCGATCATTGTAATCGGATCACAGTATTATTTTCGTTTCCGCTGACAAGGGTGGCGCTACTGTCATCATGGACAACGTTGACTGCGTCAACATGACGAATAAAATCTTCAGCGACGTGGAAGCCTTTACCCTTCTCGCCGAAGACCCGACGGAAAACCATGTCGCATTCATCAGGAAGAAGGTTAATGAGCTCGCTCGTCTGAAACTTATTAGTCCAGATGACTCCAAGTTGATGACTCTCAGTGATCTCCATATCGCACACGCGTATGACCTCCCAAAAGTGCACAAAGTGGATGCCTTGGTGAGGATTACAGTGTCACTCATTGGATCACTTACCTATAATATAGCTAAGTGGTTTTGCAGTCATCTGAAACAGCTTACTCGGGGATCGGACAATAGCATTAATAACCCTCACGCATTCCTCCACAGTATCAAGGGCCCCAAAGTAAGTACCGACAAATGTCTCCTATCTTTTGATGCTGTTGCCCTCTTTTCTTCAATACCACACGACTTGGCAATGGAGTGCGTAGCCTAACGCCTACAAAACAACCCTATTGAGGTCCCAATGCAGCATGCTATAGAATTTTTCAAACTCTGCCTTAAGAACTAATGTCGGTTCGACAGTAAGTACTGCCCACAGATAAAGGGAACCCCGATGGGCTCGCTAATATCAGGACTGCTCTCCGAACTAGTGTTGCAACGACTGCAAGAGGACGTTTTTCAGCCCAAACTGTGGCTACATTACGTAGATGACACCTTTATCGTGGTAAAAAAACTGCGAAGTCGAACGGCTGCATCAGAGGCTAAATGTCGTTTTCCCAACCATTCAGTCTACACGTAAAGGGGCAATTGAGGACAGTTTGTCGTTTCTGGACGTGAGGATACAAAAGTTGAACGATGTTAGCCTCGCAACAAGCGTCCATATAAAAGAATCTAATTCCGAGATTATCCTCAGCTATGCAAGCAACCGCCCTGCAGCTCATAAAAGAAGCTGCGTCCGAACTCCGTTCCACCGTGCCTACCGGATATCCAATTAGTTTTGTAAAGAACTGCCTCAGGCACCAGGCACAGCCGCAAGACCCCAACCCAAACGGAGATACTGTGGCACAAAATGCAACTCCCTGCCGTGTATGCGGGGAACCTCTGAAATAATCGTCCGGCAGTCAAATCAGTTGGATATTCGCACTGCCCACAGACTGGCATCCTTATTACGCGCAGCGCTGTTTCGAGTCAAGGATCTCATCCCTAAAGAGCAGCAAGCAAATGCAATTTTTCGCACGCCGTGCGCAAATTGCTCCTGTGTGTATGTTGGTTATACGGGTCGACGCCTGGGCACCCGTATTAAGGAACACAAATTAGCTATCCCTCGGCGAGACCCCTGTCCCTCGTCTTTGCGCATGCACTCGATTACGACCACCGGAGGTCGTCGTCAAGGTTAACACAGAGTGAACGAGAGAATTTCTCGAGGCGTGGTACTCCAATGCGGGTAGAATCAACCGTCATGTGGACTGGATGCCCATTACGAGGGTCTACATGCACGACTGACTGACCCCTGCCCTAATCGCACATGAACACCCGCTAATACACCCGCCCGCAGTTTACCTTATCCGCCATTCTCCCTCCCCCTCCAGCACAGGGTGCCGTAGGGGCTCCGTCTCCTCTCCCCTCCCCTTCCGCCTCACTCAGACACCCACCATGACGTCGCGGCCACCCCCCTCACACGCCAATGGCCTGACTGTCCTGTGGCGCCAACTGATCTAATGTGACAATTTAACTTTCTCTCATGTTTTCATTTCGTCTGACGACGGGTTGGTGTCACCAGCTCAAAAATTCGCGAGTACAACTCGACTTTTCCGAAGAACCTCTTGCCTTTTTCAAATTATCGTCGCGGAATGCGTACCACCCCTTATATACACATATATGCTTGTGTAGTGCCTTTCAATTTATGACTGAATAGTCCCGGGTTTTGAAGGGTAATGGTCTAGGCTAAGCGCAGGGCTGCGTCTCACTCTTGTGGATCTAAAGGATTGTGTTCATATGCTATATCACGTTTCAGCAAGTCATGACGCTCGCAGCCGTGTGTGCGCTGGCGGCCCACTGAGACCTGGTTCCCTGCCGGTAGATGCGCCTGCGTCCTCTCTGGGTACACAGGTAGTGAGCATGGTTACCCAGTCATCCTCGTCATTCTGACCCGTTGTGGTACTATTGGTTAGAATCCTGGTCACGTTTATTTGCCGTCTTCAGGTGTTTTTGGTGCGTTTTATGGGGAACGTTTTAAAGTGCAAAAACAGAAATGTCGAGTTCAGGGGTTTACAATCGTTATCAAAAGAGCCTGTTTTATTTTACTTATGACTATTCCCGAAACCATGCCAGAAAGTGACCAATCAGCCTGTTCCATTTCTTCCAATTACAAATATTGGTTTCCAACCTTCGATGAATGACGGAGAAACCCCACCACCATCTATAGACGCGTTTCATTCTATACGCAATGACATATTTATTTTTGACTTATTATTTGGTTACACCAGAGATAAAAAAGGGTTTATTGCCTTAATTTTAATGTATGGTGTTTCGTTTTTTGCATACTTTTTCTTTACGGGTAACACCTCTCGGCCGACGACTGACCGTTTATCCGGCCTTTGAAGGGTGATGATCCAGGCTAAGCGCAGGGCCGCGTGTTATTCTTCTGGGCCTTAAGGATAGTGAGCGTCTGCTATGTCATGATCAGAAAACCATAGCCCTCGCAACTTTGTGTGAGCTGGCGGCTCTCTGACACCTGGTCCCCTGCCGGTAAATGCGCCTGAGCTCCCGCTGGGTATACGGGTCCGTTGCATGGTTGTCCACGTCGTCCTCGTCTTTCTGACCCGCTGGTGTTCTGCTGGTCAAAATCCTGGTCAAGTGTTTGTTGTGGATCAGGGAGTATTCTGACACGCCTAGGTGCGGGTCCGACCGGGCGAACCACCTGCGCCCTCTCCCACCTCAGGTCTTCTTGACTATGTCTTGACAACGATCCCAGGTGAGGAGAAAGAGAGTGCGGTAAATGCTGCGCTAGTCTACTCCCACCATAAACTTATTTACCCGGGGGTCACTGTGCATGCTTTTAATTCGCTGTGGAGCAGGCACGATGGACATCGTCGGGGAAGACGGTCGAACTGCCAATTTACTATCAATTGTATCAGGAGGTCTTATATAAACAACTCATCAAAAGAAGAGGGGACGTTCACCTGGAGGGGTTTATTTGAGGTCCGACGTTTCGAGTAGTTTATTCATCTACCCATCTTCAGAGACTGGGAAGTCCTGTGCACAGCTCTCCTTATAATGGTGCCCTTTGCTCAATGCGTGATCCGCCAATGTCGCCTGTGTGGTTGCATCCAACCCGCATGTCACCGTGCACAGGACTTCCAGTCTCTGAAGACGGGTAGACGAATAAACTACTCGAAACGTCGGACCTCAAATAAACCCTTCCCGGTGAACGTCCCATTTTCTTTTGATATGCCACCTGAGAATCGCATTTTCACTCAATTTTTAGTACCCGAAATCACAGCTTAATAACGGGTGACTGAATGATTGGCGAAACAGCAGTGTAGTCTACTGAGAGATGGGAAGCAAGGGGTGGAGTGTGAACGACCTGCGACGTGCTGGATTGATCTTATTTCTGGAGAAACGTAGGGTCGGTACGAAACTCTCCGCGCATAGAGGACAGGATTACCTATTCACATGGCTGTCGCTTCCTCCG